AGAGAGAGATGCAGGTAATGACAGTAGGTTACAACAACATTATTGAAAGTAATAATATTATAGTTATAGTTCTGGCTACTGTGGTACAATATGTTGAAAGTATGTATTAATATCTGGCAGTATACATGTGTGACAATAGTCAACAGTAGAAGTATGACTAATGACTAATGATGGCAGCAGCAGCAGCAGGAGGCCTCTGGCAGGACCACGGCAGCAGCACAACCACACAATATATTTCCATATCCTCATACTTCAGGGTTGTGTTAAATGCTCAGTGGGTACAGCGTCAAAAAAAGTAGCCCTCTTCTTCTGAGTGACTGTATTTCACTGTATTGTTCTTCGTTTTTGGCTGGCCCACAAGAGAGGAGCAAAGTCTGTGACTGAGTGAAGGCTGCCACTTCCTATTTCAACCTAAAAATCCCCTAGGGTTTCATACACAGTCCAATTATATCCTCAGTTTGGCTTAGACTTGTTAAAACATTTCTTACATCCACAGCATGGCAGATGCTAAAGCTGTGACGTCACTGGAATGTCAGCACTTCTACCTCCCCACATTCCTTTCTCCTGACTCTAGGCTCTGAATGTGACAAAAAGATGCAACACATCCTGGTCCTTGCATTCCATTTCTCAAGATGAGTGTGCAAGATATTTCTGAGTTACTCCTACTGTTTTTTGTTTTATCTGGGTCTTTGTGATGGACATTTCAAGCCTCTCCCTTGTCCACCCCCTTTTAAACATTCCTTGAAGAGATCAGCCCCTGTAGCTGTGGTCAACAACAGTCACCTCTGGGGGTTGAGCTATCAAAGAGATCCCCTCTGCATATCACAGAGCTTACAAGGCAACAACCAAAGCCTGGGAGCTTCCAGAAGAGGAGGCAGCCATCACCCAAACCACCAGCCACACTGGTGGATCATCTATCTGTGGTTAGCCAGGGCTGAAAGCCACATCTCCACCACTTAAGTGCTCCCAAATGACAGTGGATTTTAAACGGTTTCATCAGACCATGGAAGAATTACTAATGATGTCTCGCTACAGTGCGGACAGCACCTTCCTGTGTTCTGTTGGATTCCTATTGAATTTTAAATGTAATAATTATTCTGCCAAAGGAGTATTCTGAGAACTCATGATCATCTTTAGCCTCTTTTCCACCGCAGGAACTTTTATCAATTACCCAGAATCTTGAAAAACCTCTGCGCGTTTCCACCGAAATTACCTGGGTAAAAAACTTTCCCTCACCTGCAAGTAGTAGTGGGGTAGGACTTTTTAGATTACCCGGAATTCTTGAGGGGCGGGGCTGTTTGCAGAAGAACGCTTATCGGTGGAGCACACACACAGCTTCCTGGTACGGGCAGCTGCTGAAAACTTTTTTTTCATCTCTACAGGCTTCACTTCATTTGTTTTTTGATTAAGGCTGGGTACCGACACCTGGTACTAAAGTAGCCCCGGGGCTAAATTATCAGAGACCGTATTGTTGATAAGCGCTGACGGTTTTGGTTCTTTTGTGCTGGCGGTGAATTCCTCCACACACACACTTCAGAGCACATTGAGCTGGATGTGTGTGAAATTCTAAGTCAATCAGATTAGCGATGTGAGGGGTGTGTCCTTTCCAAAATCACAGGTGGCAAATATAGTGTCACTATGTGGCAAATTGGGGTCATATTTCTTGGGAAGCATTTCCAGTTATTGAGCCTAGCTTCGTGTTTCCGGCTCATAGTAATAATAGTAACAAACTGGCACATACCCTTCAGGGTTTGAACCCTAATGATGGCTGTCCCTGTGGTCACTCTCACATTAGTGCACCTAAAGTGGGATTTATACTTCTGCATTGATTCTATGCCATAACCTGCACCGTAGCCTTATGTGTGCCTCCCCAGAAATGTAACTACATGTTGTGGTGACGCAGATCTCCTGTCTATTTTTGTAAGCTGAAACCATTTCCCTCAGTGGTAACAAAGCTTTGATTTACTTTTATTTCACAGATAAGAAACAATAAATTGTGAAGACAATAAAGACCCCAAACAGAAGCATTTCAAGTCTTGTGTGTGATTTATCTTGGCTTCATATGAGTAGAGGAAATCTCCGCTAGCACAGGCCAAAATGAAAAATGCCATAGGCTTGTGCTAATAACACAAGCATGTTGTATTTGTGGGGAAACTGTGTCCAGAAAAAAGAAGCCAAAATTTTTTGTCTGTGAATCCTGCGAGTTATAACAAGGCTGATTTGTGTAGTTGTGTTTGACATTGTCCCTATTAAGCCATGTTTAATGTGTGTTTTTGGTGTGTTTTGAAACAACTAAACTTTACAACACCTTACAGAAACTCTACCACCGACTAGAGTTTTGGAGGTGTAAACTGCAGAGTGACATAGACACACCATTGCACAAGTCTAAATGCTCTCAACGGGGTAGGCTATAGTGTAGGCTAGGCTCCTCATAGAGCTGACACACAGGTATAAATCCATCTTAATGAACAAGGTGTGTGTTCTTTCAAGTACTGAACTCATTATTAACATGTAATGATATCTCTGTGACAACTTTATTTCAGCTCTATGGAGGCCATCTACCTGCCCCAAATAGCATGATCTGTCTCAAAATGTCCTTTCTATCCTTTCAGGTTGTGTGTTTGACTCTTCCCTGGCATTAAAATAGACTGGAAATAAGGCAGAGAGGCCTGGGGAGAAGCAGCAGGTAGCATGCAGCAGATCCTGCAACAGCAACCACAGCTCTGATCATCCTGCCCTCTTCTTTCCTTTGTTCCTCATACATAAAGTAGTCTGTCCTTACATCCCTACAGGGGGCATTCTGCACTCCCATCCCCTATGCATTATCTCCCAGGTCAAAAGGCCACAGACCTTGGGTTTTCCCCCACTGTTGTTTAAAAAAAGCTGAAAGGAAAGACACAATTCACACAGTGGCCTTTCTCAGCTAGCCTCAGTATTTCTGGATACTGAATTGTTTAAGTAAGATTTTTGCAAAACAAACATGTCCCACTATCTGTGTATCTTAGGTGTACCTATGGAAGTTGAGAGGCTCATGAAAAATATTTAAAGTGCTGGGTATAAAATAAAGGGACGAGTCTTGATCTGTTTCTGATTGTCTCTTAATCCTCTGAGTTTCTCTTGTCTTGCAAAGCATCCTCCTATTGTTCTCAGCAAGGCTCTGCTCCATGATGCCTGATGGGCAGAGGGTGGAAAGTTGCTTTAAAGTCCATTCTATTTTTATTGTGCCCAAAGGGGAGAAAAACAAAAACAAGTCATAAAACCCTTAAAGCCTCCTATTAGGACATTAAGCAGAGGAACACCGGGGTGATATAAGAAGGCCCGGTGCTGGATAGCATCAGAGAGAGACAGCAGCACACAATAACAGCGGCAACTACAAACTCTCAAGATCTCTTCATCAGCACTAACTGACCAATTGAGACCCACACTGACTGTAAAAGTGCCATGATGACATGGGGAAATCAACATAAATTGCCCTTTTGATGGTTTTTTACTTGAAGTCTAAATCAGTCACATCTGTGTATGTTATTATTACATGTATACATGTATATTTTTCTTACTGTCAACGAATCCATTAAAAGGGAAAAACCAATGATGCATGAGTTTGTCTCTCAATTAAACCTGTAGCTGAGGTCATAAATCAGATCCAATATTGTTTGTAGATACCAGTTAACCCTTTGAACTCTGCAATAGACATGGTCCACCAGTGTCTAAATTAGTATTTATGCTTATTGTGATGTCAGTTCTCTAGAGTATCTTCAGATGCTTCATATCCCTAAGATCTGATCTGTACAACCTGAGCTAAAAGATTATGCAAGTCTACACGCCATAATATTTACAAAAGTATTGAAAATGTGTCAGTGAATACAAAAATAGTGACTTTTTTCAGATTCTACAAAATAAAAACACAAAAAAAGATCCAAAAGATTTTTAAATGAGGAAACAAAAAGAAAACATTTCTTAAACACTCCGTAAGTTATCTGAACAATGTACATTTGTTTTTGTTTTCTCCTGGCACCACACACAATTTGGCACAATAACGTCATCACATCAGCTGCAAAAAGAGTAAATATTCAAGACATTATGGTTTTTATTTTAGGTCAACAGGATTATGCAAATAATTTTGGATGTTCTGGGGAAATTCCAGTGAAAATTATGGTGTAATTCCGGTAAAATACTATGTTTGCACTGCCATAAGGTAAGGTGAAATAAGATAATGACTTGATGATGAGGAAGACAGAGGTCTTCGCTTTCTGCTGCAAAAAGAATGAATACTTTATCTATCATGGTTTTTGCTTTAAATCTGTTGAAACAGGACCATGCAATCAATAGTCTGGGAGGTCTGCTTTTATTAATATTACAAAAGTCTAAATGCTGTTTCAAAACATTATTTTCACTACTAGGGCTAAATCCTGATGTGATTTATTACTATTTCTTCATTTAGTTGGTGTCAGATGTAGTCAAATTTACATATACTGAATCTAAAATCATTGGAATCACCAAGTGCAGTACACACTATGTGTAATTTCTTTCTATAAAGAAAACCCCCAGGTTGCTAAAACTCTCAGAAAAATTTCAATTGGTTCATACTGGCTCACAAATAAACAGCTGCATTAATAAAGTAGATTAAAACAAAACCCTCAGTAATGTCCTGGTTGGACACTAGTTTTAAGTTAATGTTACTCAAACAGGAAGCAACTTGTGGGAGACTTTGTTCAGTGGCAGAGTGATGCATATTAGGATTATAGTCAAGGTAAAAACATGTACAATCAGTACTCACTAAACTTAGATGATCGTTTTTTATCAATGCACTCAAGATAAAGTGATTAGATTAAAAAAGTGCATGGACTTTCTTCAAAGGATCCATCACCTCACCCACCCATACACATGCACACACACACACACAGTCCCCAGGCAGCAGTGCCCATGCCTGAGAGAGAGGTCACAGGAAAGTTAAAGCTTTGATATGAAAGAGGACGCAGGAGGCCTGAGGATGCTCTTACCGAGTTCACTGGTGTTGTCGCCACTCTGAGAGACGTGTCCCCCGCTGGACGGTCCTGGGGTGCCCACAGAGGGTGTGGAGTGGGCGTCATCCATGTCTCTCCAGGACGCTGGGTTCTAAGAGGTCAGGGAGAGGTCCGCACACCAGGGGACAGGAGATAAGGAAACAGAGGAGATGAAGAAAAAAAGATGAGGAAGGTCCAGCAGGTCCGGTATGAGGTCCATTATGCAGTTTCCCAAAGACACAAAGACAGCTGTGTGGCATGATTAGCATTGTAGACAGCAACAAAGTTATCAAAAAATGTGAGACAAGAACAACATTACCATTCTGTCCAAGAGGGAGGTTGAAATTAAGTTACAGTAAGAGTTTATAAGATAGTTTAACCCTGTAGCATGGGGACACTCCTGTGTCCTGGCTCTTTCTGTGACCCGTGTTGGGGGGAAAGCCTGTATTTATTGCTCCGATTGGCTGGCCACTCAGGCAGCCATAAGCCCAAACCAAACAGCAGATCTCCCTCTTCAGCCTCTCTGCGTCAGCTGTTTGCCGGATGGTGATCAGATGAGGAGCTTGGCAGATGACAACAAGAAGCAGAGGGACAATGGCACAGTGTGAATGAGGCCTCTCAATGATGGTCCATCTTTTCTTATCCAGCCACCCAATAATTACAACTCCTAAGTACATACAGCTACTCAAAGAGGCGCCATGTGTCTCCACGTTTATCAATTTAATGAAGGTCTTGTCTCCCAACAAAGTGTCTGTGAAAACCCAATTAAGAGGAAGGGAGGGTAGTGTACAGCCAGGAGACTCTACATTTACCATCTACAGTAGCTTCTTTCCTCTCACATTACTCACTGATAAATTCCTGCACCAAATGACCGGCAGCAAATATAATGGCATGACAAAAATTGTTGTATATTGTTGATGTTTGTTCAGCAAAATTAGGTCAAACTATTACAAAGTATTATTGTTATTATTAAACCATTATTAATCTGCCAGCTCGCTGCAAGGTTTGAGTTCAAGTTAACATAGAATGTATAGCAAGGAGGGACTGAAACACATACATAAATACTTGAATATATGGCATTCAACTAGACGATTTGTACCAGTGAAACCAGGGCAGTTCAACTTGATGAGGATTTAGGACAACTGACAATTGAAACTGTCTACAATTTGCACAATAACTAATTACACATGGCCAGCTGCTCAAAATTGATGAGCTGATTCTCAGAGAAATGATCATAAACATTCTTTCATTGCTTAATCCATCTATTTATCAAAATCTGTCAGACGTATATGTACATTCCTTATCTATGACATGGAACAAACTGGCAAATTACCTGCCAGGTGACAGTAATAAACCACGAGTCAAAATCAATCGGTTTTTTTTGTTTGTTTGTTTGTTTGTTTTGTTTTTCTGTCACTAGATATTATTGTTGAATTTAGATTGTGACATCAGGTGACCAAAATTCATTATCAAGATAGCTATGCAAATGTCATATTGATATAGAATACCTATGAAGGGATGACATTGATATTTTGTTGGTTTTAAGTTGCATTTTTTAAATTACCAAAATCCAGTGTCTTTCAAATGTCTCATGCAGACGTCACCTTGATGTAGAATAACGACATCTAGCCATAAGGTTGGAGAACAACAACCAGCGCCTGCTAATTGTCACAATATTAACATCCACACTACGTGAAATTTTCTTTTTTTGGAGTCAGCCTCAAGGGACTGTTTAATGAACAGCTGGGTGCCAGCTGGGTTTGTGGCTGTTCACTGCATACCATTTTAAATAAAAGCTCAAAGATGTTGTTTTTCTTTTTTTACTTACAGTACATGTAATACATTGCTACACAAATACTCTTACTGTAAATACAAATGTGCATGCCCAAAACAGAGATTTGTGCATAAGGAATATTTCCATGATTGTCCAGTACGGCTCAGCAGGGTTACACAACAGCTTTTCATTTTGGTGGCATTTTGGTGTGTTACTACCTTTTGCAGACACAACAGTTTGTGATGCACCATGACATAGTTGTGACAATTGCACTGACATGTTGAGACTTAAGAAAAGAAATGATGAGACTTAAAAAAAAAAAGAAATGAGCCAAAGCAAGAGTTAATGAATTAAGAAACAGGCGAAATATGTAAGTAAATTCTGCTTAACTGGCTTTGGTTGATTTTAGGGTTAAAAAGATTTGTCTAAGAGCCTATGTGCCCATGTAAAGTGATTTGATTGATTTCATTCAAACCACCAGTCTGCGTTACATGTCAATTCTCTGCCCCCTAATCTCCAATAAAATGCATTGTTTGGGTATTGCCCAATGATGATAGTGGAGATTTTTCAGTGATTTTTCTGAACCAGTATGAGGGGTGTCAATAAAGCATTCATGAAATGGATATGTCACATGATGGTCTATCTTACTATATAATGACGAAAACTCTGTCTGTGGGTGTGTCTGTTCCATGTTTTTCTACTCACTGACGTAGTCAATCTATATGAAACTGCACATAGGCATTGAGGATTGGCATAGGTAGAAGGTGACAAAACTACTTTTTCCAAAAATTACACTATTATTAGTATATTCTTTTACAAAGTCGATGCATTCACCCCACGAGTTACTGCGCACGTGCGTTGATATATGTATCCACCTCAAATGGACATCAGCTGTAGCCAAGCAGCGGAATTACACTGTGCACGTTCATTAATAATATGCATCCACCTCAAACAGCAGCTGTAGCCAAGCAGCGGAGTTACACTGTGCATGCATCCATCTCACACAGACATCATCTCAGCTGCAGCCGATAAAGGTAGGCTTATTAATTACTTAATTACATTTACACTGCTAAAACGTGCACATTGATGTCACATTGACAAGCTAACCAATTGCCATGTTGTGTAGGTATATGTGCGCGTGGGAAGTTGCCCCATATCCCTCAACTTTGTGTGACTGCGTGTTCGTGAGTGTAGCTAGGGAAGACCCAGGTCAATTGTTAAGTGGGGTCAGTTGTTATGCCAACAGAGACGCACAGGGACGAGCTCGCTCAACAGAAACATCAGAACAGCCAGCTACACTATAATGAAAGGGAAGCCTCAACCAACCTCAAACGGACATCAACACAGCTGCAGCTGAGTTACACTGTGCACCACGTTAATATATGCATCCACCTCAAACAGACATCATCTCAGCTGCAGCCGATAAAAGTAGGCTTATCTTACTATATCTTACTATATAATGACGAAAACTCTGTTGGTGGGTATGTCTGTGTGTCTGTCTGTGTTTGTGTCTGTGTGTCTATTCCACGTTTTTCTCCTCACTAACTTGGTCAATCCACGTGAAATTTGGCACAGTGGTAGAGGGTAATGGGAGCATGCAAATGAAGCAATATAACATCAACTGGCCAAAGGGGGGCGCTATAGCAACCGACTGAAATTGCAAACTTTAAATGGGCATATCTCATGCCCCGTATGTCATAGAGACATGAAACTTTACACAGAGATGCCTCTCCTCATGAGAAACAAATTTGCCTGAGGAACCCATAACTTCCGGTTATATAGATTTTCCACCATTTTTAATTTTTTGAAAAACACTTAAAATCGATCTCTTCCTAGGAAGTTTGACCGATCTGCATGAAACTCGGTGAACATAATCTAAGGACCAATATCTAAAGTTCCCTTTTTTGCCTATATTTGACAGGACAGTGAAGCATGACAGGAAGGATGGGAGAGAGAGAGAAGGAAGACATGCAGCAAAGAACGAAGGCCGGATTCCAACCCCCACTGCTGCAACAACGGCTAGCCGCACCTTTCCCATGTGAACTTCCAGTGCACCCCACTTTTAAGTCAATACAACATATAAACACTTTAACTATCTGCCTTTCAATGTGCTACCTCAACTACTAATATACAGTTTTAGGCCACTAACTATCCCACTATAGAGTGTGCCAGTAAACCCGGAACTCCGTTAGCGCTTTTAGCACTTAGGGTTCTTTCCTCTAAAAGCCAATACGTTTTTTGAATGGGATTTTGGTAAAATGCCTCAAATAAGGTCTGTGGTTAACAAAAGCTTAAGCGAGTTTCAGGTTTTGTTCTACAACATAAAACACGTCAGTAAATACCCTACTTGTGAATTTTGAAGCTTTTACGTGTCGTAAAAAAGGCGGTTGCTAACAAGTTGCTCAATATGACTACAAACCCTGTCTGGGACATTAAACGTCATCACCCTCGAACAGGCGAGAGTGCTGGCAGTCCGCCATTACAGCTTCTTATGTAGCTTCTTAACAGTCTGATTTCCCCATTAAACAATGTTTTTAAAATAAAGCAGACAAAATCAGTTGAAAGCTTAGTGGCGGTGACGTCATGCGACCGTGGAGTAGTCATGTAGTCCATTAAAGCCTAACGTTAGCTTTTTACTTCTGGCGATCGCATTTAAGCTTCAAATGCGGTATGAAAGGTGTTCATATGTGAAGATTATCTAGCTGAACAAAACCTGTAAGTATCATAAACTCGTGTTAGCCACAGAGCTTATTTTCTGACATAATCCAAAACGCAATGCAATGCAAAAATCACATTCACTTTCTCTTCCGGGAACCAGCGCGATGCTAAGCTTCCGGGTTTTGACGTCAGCCCTGGCACACTCTATTGGCAATGGTACTACTGTACTTTCAATAAAGCAATCGTACTATCAAATTCACAAAAACTCTGTCTGAATACATTGCTCTTCTTAATGGGTTCAGTTGACTATTTAATCTGCAATTTCCTATGACCTGTATCCCAAACACACACCATGTGAAACTGTACGTGGGCAACTGTGCACTCATTGGGAATGGACTAGTATGCTATTACAGATACCTTTTCATCCCTTAAGAATAACAGAGTAAAGAAAACTGTTTTTGGAAGGTTTGTTTGCGATGAAATGGTTGAAATGTACCAACTAGGAAAGTGCACTCGGTAGAATGCAGATCTTTACCAGGCAGACACGCAGCCTCCCGAGCTGATCGCAGCCACTCAAACAATTCTTGTAATTCTAGCAGATGAGCCACAGCAAAAGCGAAGAAAAACACACACCTTGTCAATGTTGTGCACTGCACAGAGCAGATTGAGTTTTCCTAAACCAGGCACTGGATGTGATATAAGTAATTATGAGGATAAATGTATTTTTAACAAATAATGCAGCCATAAATCTTTGATCCATGTATTCTTAACTAGACTTCTAACAGTATTACCTTTATCTCTTTGTCTGCAGGCCACAGCACAAGAATTTAGGAAAAATTAACAATAATACAGCACAAGAATTTAGGAAAAATTAACAATAATCCCGATTAAATACACCAAAAAAAAACATTTAACTCCATGGCCTATTTACTTACTGATGGTAAAAGCACAAATATTAAGGAAAAATGACCAAATCAACAAAATCTGCAAATCTACAAAATCGAGACGGAAAATGCTCTGCTTGTCAAGTGCCACCAGTGTGGTATGACGCTGTGCCGCTGCTGGACTGCAACACAGCTGCAGTGGTGGAATTGTCTCTCCTGACTCCCTTACAGTCAATATGCTGGTTAAGATAACAAAAAAGGCTGACTTACTTATATTGTGCTTAACTTTAGTGGATCGTAACATATAAGGTATGAAATTTATCTACAGATGCTCCGGTTTAAAACAAGACCAAATGTTTCTATAGATCTCAGTTTTCGATGGCTAAGGCCAAAATGTGGCTGGCAACAGACAGTAAGTCCTGTTGTTTTTAGCCTGGAGAACATCACACTCATTTAAGAGAAGTGGGGAGCCAGCAGTCAATGAAGGTATTATACAGTCAGTAAAACAGTTTTTCAACTATCATGAATGACCACAACCACAAGAGATGCTAGAGCATGAAGTCATACATGTGCACACAAATTATTAGGCTGATTGGTCCAGAAGTTTGTGAAATTAGCTGCAGACAGAGAGACAGACTGCAGGCAGACTGATGCATGTACTCACACACAACCGAATGCATGATCCCTACAGGCAATGAATATCAATTTTCTAGTAGAAAATTACATTAAAATAAAATTATTTTAAAAGGTAATTAAAATTGGATCTTGATGAAATACAATCATGCCGCCAGATTTCCACATGCTTTGAGAAAATAAAATGTGAGGGCTCAATATACAAAATTTGGTTGAGTGGTTGGTATTGTCGCCCCACAGCAAGACCCATGGATTCATGGATTGAACCCTGGGTGTGGGGTTTGAACCTTGGGATGGGGGAGCCCTTCTGTGTGGAGTCTGCATGTTCTCATCGTGTCAGCATGGGTTTTCTCCAGGCACTCCAGCTTCCTCCCACAGTCCAAAGACATGCAGGTTAGGTTAACTGATGGCTCTAAAATTGCCCACGTGTGAATGTGAGTGTGAAAGGTTGTCTGTCTCTATGAGTAAGCCCTGTGATAGTCTGGCGACCTGTCCAGGGTGTACCTCACCTCTTGCCCAATGTCAGCTGACACAGGCTCCAGGCCCTCCGCAACCCCTAACAGGATAAGCGGCTAGAGAAAATGAATGAATTCAAAATGTATTTAGGATCTTTAGCAGGGAAGAAAAGCTCAGCAGTAAGGAGCTTCAGTCCAAACCATCAGTATGAGCCTTCGCAGTGTCAGTTGAGTGAACAAACACAACCAGGCCTAGTAAGCAAATGTAGACTCAAATGATGTTTTACTCATAAGCATACCTGCACACTCATACACACGTGAATGCTGAACAGATCGTGGTACACTCAGTGGTTAACATGCATGTACATTACACCACTCTGCATGTCTCTGTACCCAGAGGAGAGAAGCACATCCATTATGCAGCAACTGTAGAAGGAAAGCATTACAGCAGGGAAGTGTCCTGTCAAATCAACTGGTGGCCTTACACACACACACACACACACACACACACCCACAGCCTGTGTGAAGGAAGCATATTCTCAAGAGCAAAAATAATGTTCATAAAGTCACTTTTCACTGAAGCTGCAGGCAATAATTTGTGCCAGAATTTATATTTGAAAAGTTTCTAGTGGAAATATTAAAGAATGTAATTGTTGTGTGGTAAAAATAACAATGAAACAGCATTTCAGTCAGGGTTTCTCAGCCTTTTCTGGCAGCTGATCCCATCATATTCCATCAAGGCTGCTACTCCAAATTTCCCATGACCCCATGAGTTGCCACACACATTTGCTTAAGGCTCATTCTGTATTACATTTTCAAGAGATTGGAGGGAGCCTTGAAATTAACTAAACAGAAATAATGATTTATTTTCAAAAACATAGCATAGCATCACCAAATTCTTGGCCCTATGTATAAGCAGTCCCCTGCCCTTCCTCTCTTGATCCATGTCTTTCTCATGCACCTTTTAAATTTTTTCACAAAGTCATTTTTTGTCTGTCCCTCTCCTTTTTTTCTTTTCTTTTTTGGATCCTTGATTTCCCTGTCTCTGGAAAGACATGACAGTGTTTGTGCTCCAGCAGAATACGCAGTCACTCACTAAGGTTTAGCTGCATTTATAGACAAATACTAATGCTGGGCAGGATAAACCATCCTGCACTTTTAAGGGGTGAGAGGGGGCTAAGAGAGCCTCCTCTTTTTTTATACCAAGTTCAGCCTTTTAACCGATTTATTCAGCCAATTTTTATTTAGTTATAGCACTAATTACTTTGAAAAAAAAATTGCAAACAAAACCAAACTTTTCATTCCAAGGGCCCCTCTCACACTGGGGCCCTGGGTCATCCCAAACACAGAACTTGTAGCTGCACTTTGTGCTCTGAAGATCATCATCATCATCATCATCATCATGGCTGACTTTCCTGTCTAACTGAAAGTATCATTTACAGACAAAATATGATTTGAACAACAAATCTCTGTCCATATTGTGATTCTTCTCCATGGAGCAAACCTCTGACCAACAGCAGACAGGAGCAGCCCACCAAAAAGTCACCAAAGCCAGCCAACAACCTCCATCCCATTAGAAGAGCTTCATGACGTTCAGTGAAAAGGGTGCAGGAACTCTAAACATCCTGTCATGTTCACTCTGTGCATGACTGGATACGAAAATATCTTGAAATGACAGACAAAAGGAAAAGCTCCTGTTGAGAAACCCATCAGTCTCCAGTGATGCTCACATTGCAACATAAGTTAGAATAAGTTGTGAGAAATTCCACCAAACTAGGGTTTTTTTTCCCTCAGATTTTTTTTTATCATAATTGTTCTTAGAGGCCTGAAAATGTCAAAGTCACCACTACTTGATTTTATAACATTTGAAAAAGTCAGCAAGAAATTAGTATGATCAAAACATAATTCATCAGAATTATTCTACCCTTGGGTGGGCCCCAACCTGTGGTGACTGGTCTACAGCATACAGTACAGCAGCTATTAGCTGCTTGTGTGGTAACTTTTTAAAGATCAAATACAAAGAAAAGAATTCTTGTGATGATCTTGTCCAGCCTCTGCTATTCTTCATCTGACACATGGAGCTATGTATGAGAGCAGGCAGGCTAACTCACATGATCTGCAAGGTTGGTGGATGATCCGGAGAGGTCGTCAAAGTCCGACTTGCAGACGTCTCGCTCCTCTATGACCAGGTCGATGGGCATTTTTCCTTTGAGGCAGCTAATGTACCGGTGGCAGAAGTTATCACACAGCTCATGGACCTGTGGAATCCAGACTTGCAATTACATTCTCTGAGATTTGACTGAGCACCAGAGAAACAAATTGTTGTGTTAAAATCAGTTAAGCTACATACAACTCACCTTCTCTAATTCCAGCAGATGAAATCGTAGGACTTGAATCGCCTGAATCATCTAATAAATAAATAAATAATAAACATTTCACTTTCACAAATCACCCTAAAAATGCATGATAATAGAACGCACCATGATTTTAGAGACGCACAGGGTGCCACTGATAATTTTGACAGTGCGCATTTGATAATCACCAACATAACAGAAACATTATTTTAGTTTTATTACAAAAATATGAAACAAGAAAGAAAGAAGTGCCCACCAAGTTATCCAGCTCTGGGTTGGAAGAAAATAACGGTTTCTCTGCACGGATCTAAAGAGGGAACGAAAATGAAACCAGTCCATTTTAAAATGTTAAAATGAAGAGGGGACTCATTGAACTAAATTATAATTAGGCTTTAATTAATTCGATCTCAAAAAGTAAGAAGCTGGACGTCAAACTACTGCAGAACGGCATTTGGCTGAGGGTTATTTTCTTGAGTCTTTATCTAAAATGTCTCTTTGCAGTATAATCAACTGTGTGCTCTCCTACCTGCTTTGCAAATACGGCTATGTCTTCATTGAAGGAGTCGGAGGAGCAGACGTCTCCTCCCGCCACCCCGGGCTCTCTGGGCGTGCAAGTCGCCAGCTCGCACTTCTCGAACACCAGAGCCAGCAGCGGGAATAAGGGGTGGCTGCAACACAGGCAAACACAGGCTCGGATCATTCCACATTGTTAGGCCTGTACATGAACGATCAAAGCCGCGCGGGTGATAACATTTCGCATCAGGCCCGTTTAACAAAAGAAGATAAATATTGATTTATTCCTTCTTAATTTAAGGGAACAAATTCAGCGCTGGAGTGAGATGATTTCATCTGTTTCCAAAGCAAACAACCTGCTCACACATTTTATCAAGTTTCAGTGCTCTCTGAGGAAAGGCCTCTTTCCTCTTGTTTCAAGAAACCAAACAAAATTATACGATTTTAAATTAATCGAAAGACTGTAATGACTCTCATGAGCGGAATATTATTATAAGGTCAAACACAACAAAATGTCTGCTTAAATAAATATTATGAACCTTAGTGCAAATTAAATAATAACCAAATACATTTAATGAATACATATTTATATCGCCTCACAATAAAAATCTACACGTTATTATTATTATTATTATTAGTAGTAGTAGTAGTAGTAGTATCATCTCCACACCCGTAGATTTGGTCCTTGTCTCTCTTTAGTGCGTCGTTGACGGCGCTACCCATGCTGCTGGGCATGATGTTGTGCGGCGCGTGGGCTCCGTAGTGCTGGGTCGGGTGCGGAGGTGGCCCGTGGTTCAGGTGGTGGACCTGGGGCAGGGGCCGGGGGGCGTGCGGGTCTCCGTACATGGAGGTGGGGACTCCGACTCCGTCCATCGCGCCTCCGTAATGAGCCAGCTCATCGTACTGAGGTGAAAGTTGAAGATGACATTAGGGCATGCGACGACAGGACAGGTAGAGGAGGAGGGGGTTAATGAGAGGAAAACCTGGGACACTTGTATTCTCCTAATGTGTTGATTGTTTTCAGAAGGACTACACAGGCCTTACACTTGGTATCTTGTCAAGACTGGGGCATTTCTCCAGCCTGTGATTGGAGTTGTATAACCACTTGCTTAATTAGCTTTTTTAGGGGGGTAGAAATTCACATCATATCTTGTATGTATGTAAGTATGTATATAAAAACAACTTTGTGCAATCAATTTTAATAACCAAAATTCAACAATAATCGGTCAAATTAGATTTACCCTTTGCGCCATCTCCGTGCGCAATTTCCAGATGTGTAAAGAAAAGTTTGATGTTGATGAGTAGGTATAAATCGACGACTTTGAAATCCAAGAGGGAACTATAATCCTGTCCTGCTGTATGGCATGGAGCAAATCAATTAAGACTGAAATCAAAGCGAAGTGATCAGACACAGCATCTGTCCTCACGTTACCACGAGTGCCGAAAGGCGCACTGGTAATTGGCAAACTGCTTTGCTGCGGTTCTTCAGCGGGAGGATTAGTGATAATCTGTCACTTGTGAGTGTTTGATGTTAGTTCCGAGGATCAGTCCTTTCATAAGAATGCGCTGACGGTCCGCGGTTCAGTCCTCTGCACTCACTCTGTCCTCGTGCCCATGTCTCTGTGCGACACGCTCACTGTCCGCAGTTTATAGGCTACACGCTCCGTGATGTGCAGGACACGCTGATGACGGAACATGGAGGAGCAGGGCGGGGGCAACCAGCCCGTGCGTACTGATGACAAGTTACAGTGTTTTTAAACGCTGCCTTCCGGTCATTACTTTCAAAATAATATATA